TGGAAAAACACCAGAAGCCCCCTCCCTTCCATTATGGCAGGGAATGATGGGCAGTTAATCAGCTGTCTGTCTGAGCTCCCGGCCTTGGACTGTGCTGCCCATGCAGATCCAATTGCAGGACCAGGACTTTGCACAGAGACAGGGCCACGGTTCACCTGCACGGATCCGATGGCAGGATCAATGTCATAGTTCCTTCCTCCAGGAGATGGGGGAGGAAGTTAATACAGAAGCAGCCTGCCCACTCTCCTTTTCATAAAGGAACATTCCCGGGGGCCTCTCTGAATGGAAACATTTGTCATGGTTCTTTGGTATTGATGTACCCAGGGATCCATCCCTGTTCTGAAGGGAAGGTTGTTAGGCAGCTGGTTGTCCAGGGTGTAGCAGGGATAACAGTATTATTGCAAACCCAAAGAGCTAACCACTCCGCAGCCCCATCCGGAGGCATGGCCCAGCCTCAGGTGCTGGCTCCAGGGCACAGCAGGTTGCACCCTTCCATTCTTTTGCTTCTTTTCCTTTGTTTCCTCTTTCTGATGTTTAAATTCAAGGCACAAACCTGTCTTGAGGCAGCATCGGCAGGGGGCATTCAGACCCAGGAGAGCCAGGCAGGGGATGGTTCCTATGCACCAGGCTGGCACCCGCACCCAGAGATTGGGGTTCAGAACCTGCTGAGGGCAGCAGCAAAACCCGCAGGCTCCACCTGTGGGCTGAGGCCAGGGTGAGCTTGGTGCAGCCTGGGCAGTGGAGGTTTGCTCTGGAGCTGCTGGGAGCAGGCTTTCCCCCAGCTGACTCTGGCTCGGGCCCATGGGACTTCCCAACACCCAAGAATGGGTGGAGCAAAAGGGAATCCAGCCCCACCCCCTCGGTGCCCATCTGCCAGCCCTATGGCACCACAGCATCCCCCTCATGTTGGGGGTTTTCCCAGCCAATTTCCAGCTCTTTAAACCAGTGGGGCCCACTGACAGGAGCAGACTCTGCACGCAGTGTGTTTTGTTACTCGTTAGGCTGTTCAGAGACACAGGGCCTGATCCTGGCCTTGCTGGGGTCATTGACACCCATGCCAAGTGAGTTTAAATGAGGTGTACACTGTTTCCATTCTGCTCCAGCCTCTCACACCCACCCACCCACTCTGCACAGGTCTCACTGACAGCAGCAGGGGTGGGGCAGAGCAGGGGGCAATCCACCCCCTTGGGGAAGCTACCCACAGGCAGTGAGGGTGGGCAGTGGAAGGCAGAGCCATATGGGTAACACAGGGAAAAGAGAGGGAAGGAAAAGCCACCCCGGCTGCTGCTCAGAGCAGGAGCCCCCAGGGACATCCCAGCTTCCCCACACTCAGCAATCCCATGATCCCGTAGTACATTTGCCCCGCTCCGCCCATCCCCCAGTTTGGGGCTCAGACCCAGGCATTGGAGGAGGGGGGCTGCCCTGCAGACTGGCAGGACTCACAGGTGCCCCAGCTGGGAAGGTGATGGCGAAGGGTGCCCAGGGGGTGTGAGAGTCCAGCCAGCGGGCAGCACAGATTGCAGCCCCAGGGCTCCACCACGGGCAATGGGAGATACTGCTCTAATGAGGGTTATAAAATCATTCCCCAATGGCCCAGGCTGGAGGATGGGCAGCCAGCCTGAGGCACACACCAGCCTGGGGCACACGCCAGCCCACCAGCGATGGATCTCCCGCACTCCATCTTACCTGGACAAAGCTGACAGTTTGCAGATGCTCCCTGCCATCCCCTGGGGGCTTGGGCTCCTGGAAGAAGGTTTCTATCACCTGGACAGGGGGTGGAACTGCTCAGAGGCCTGTGCTTTGCTCACCAGCTCCCTAGAATTTGTGGCCCGGGGGCTTCTTCTGAAGCTGGGATCTGTCCTGCCTTCAGATAGCTGGGGGAGCTCCCCTCAATTTCAGGGTCTGTCGCATCAGTTCATGGAAGGGCGGGATTGGGCCTTTTGGGTGAGCTGAGAGCTCAGGGCCACCCCCTGCCACGTGAGCAGCAGCCTCCCCGGGCTGTCTCCCCCACCCCTGGGATGCCATAGCCAATGGATCCCTGGCTGCCAATTGACCCCCGGGACGCTGTGTCCAATGGCTGTTCAGATTTCAATGGGAGTGCGGGGGAAATTTAGTGGTGGCCAGGAGTCCCTTAGGACCTGGAAGCCCTTGGATTTTTGTGAATGGTAAAATGTAAATGTCAGTCTATTTCGGGAGCCTTCGTTGTGGTTATTCGCTGCTGTTTGATTACACCCAAATTACCCACACCAATGCGCTCGCTTGGGTTGTTAGCAGGGTTTGACCCGTCAGAGCTAGAAGCATGAGCCACTACAGCTAGAGCTAAAGGAGCAGCTCCTCCAGTTAACAGCTTTAATAGGTTCTTATCCTCATGTGGAGCCAATGCTATGGGGGACCGAGACATGCTGAGCTAGGCGGGAGGCCAGACATTGTGCTAGGAGGTGACAGAGTGTTAGTAGATTGAGAAGTGCCTCATGTAGCAACAACCCCCATTGGTCTGGCAATGGGAAGCCAGGCATGTCCCAGGGTCCCACTGACACGCATTCACTGCCTCTCCCAGGTGCTGACCCATTTTCTCTCCCTCTCTCTCGGATGATGCATGAGCTGCAGGCGCCTGTCTGGCTCCAGCACCCCCTGCCACCTTCCCCTGCTGTGACCCTGCGGGAGCCACGGGCTGGCTGAGCTACCCAGCCACTCTGCTCCTCCAGGGGAAGCTGGTGCTGGCTACGCCACTGCCTCCATCTGTCTGCCACGCGATAGGAGATGGGAAGGCAATGGTGCTGAGCGGCTTCCAGGCAGCAGTGGCCAGAGCACTGCAGAGCCAGCACAGTTCCAGGCCTGGGAAGCGGGGAGCAGGGACGGTGCCTTCCCCATGGCAGAGCCTCCTCCCCACCCCCCACACTTTCTGCCCCTCTCACTGGCTTTCTCCCCGCATCAGAACTGCTACCACCTCCATGGAGCAGGGAACCAGTGGGGCAGCCAGAGGGGGAGGGGGAGAACGTCTTTTCCTGCCTTGCTCTGATGCCCAGATCTGCCCTGCCAAACTACCTAAATGGTGCTCCTGGCTGCCCTCTGACCCGGGACACCACACCCAGCACACATATGTATATTCCTGTTTGCCCAGTTCAGTGCCAAGCCCCAGGCAGCCTACAAGGGTTGGAAGGTTCATGCCAGTGGGTGGAGTGGATCATCCCAGCCCAGAGCATCCGAAGGGTTAAACCAGCCTGGTGAGAAGGAGACAGGACCCAGCAATAACCTCTGGGCCGCCCAACCCACTGCACTCACCTGTTGGATGATGCTGTGGTGCTGCCCAGTGCCCTGAGGCTGCAGCTTGGTCCCGGCCTGATGGGCCTCCCACAGCAGCAGGGACACGCTGTAGCCAAGGGGCACCATGGCCAGCAGGGGTCTCACCAGCTCCGAGAACACCTCGTCCTGCAGAGAGAGCCAGGGGGAGCAACCCAGGACACAGCAACCCCAGGGGAGCTGAGGCAGATCTCGAACACAGGCCAGGGTGCTCTGCTCCAAGCCCTGACCTCGGGGCCCTCTCGACCCCCAGCCTCCCTAGTGCAGTCAGCCCCACAGCCTCCTTCCCCCACCCCCACTGCTGGTGCTGGCCCCTGCTGAGGGCTTTGGGGCTGGGGCTGGTGGGGAGAGGTAGAGACCCCATTGAAACGTGCCCAGCCAAGCAAAACTACAGGCCATTTACCAGCTGGGCTGGGTCGCTTTCAGCACCGCAAGCCCTGGGTCAGTCGGGCCCTGGAGAAGCAGACCGGGAATGGCACAGCCCCTGAAGGAGGCCTGGGACCCCAAAGGGGGCATCTGCTGGGAGCAGGGGAGGGGGATAGGAGACCCCTGTGCAGCGTGAGTAAGAGTGGGAATGCCAAGTACAGAGCATCGCTGTGGGGGCAGGAGCAATGGTGAAATGCCCACAGGGACTGGGCTCGGGATTAGTCCCAAGGGGAGGGGAACCCCTGCTGCTTGGGCTATTTCCAAGTGCACTGGACCAAGCTCCACATTATCCCTGGATCTCAAGGTTCCCTCAGAGGCCTTAGGCTGATCAGGGGGGTCGTGACAAGCACCTTAGCAGCCATTCCTTACCGCCCGTGTTTGGGGGGCCAGGATAATCCCAGGGGACACGGCCGAGCTCTGGTGAGACACATGGATCAGTTCTCAGGGCTTGGGGAGTCTAGGGCTCAGTCTGGCTCCTGGATCAGCCTCTGGGTGCTGCCTGCCCCTGAGTCTAAGGAGAGGGGTGCAGGCCCCAGGCCTTTCCCCTTCCCAGCACAGACATGCAGAACCCACCGTACCTGCCCCGTGTCCAGACTAAAGATGCCGTCGAACGTGAAGCAGCCCTCCTGGAAAGACACAGCAGCTGGGTTAGCGCTTAGCCCTTCCTGCCTCTCACCCAGCCCCAGCACCCCCAGGCCCGGAGCTCTCCCATCCCACAGGGACCTCTGGGCTGTATTTCATCCCCCCGGGCCGGGTGCAGGAGGAATCGTAGCGGCCAAACTCCAGGGGTTGGCAGCGTTGCACTGCACCGCGGGAAGCAGTTCCACAGCTGGGGCCTTGGCACAATTCCTACCTGCCAGGGCAGGGGCTGAGCAGGCAGGGACCTGCGGGTGAGACGGACCCCGTCCGAGGGGAGCTAAGTGAGAGGGCTACGTGGGAGGGGCTGAGAGCTGCACCAAGCCAGGCTGTGAGAGAGTCCTGGGACTCAGCCCCCACCCCCACCCCAATGGGTCAGGATTCCCTCAAGTCCCAAAGGCTGATTTGTAAGAGAGCAGGTGTGCCCTGTGGGATGACTCTTGCTGCTTGAGGTGAGGCCTCTGTTGCTTCATCCTGTGCCTGGCTGGAGGGGCCAGCCCAACACTGCCCCTGCATACAGCCATACTCCTGACACAGGCATCACATGAGCATCCCCACCTTCCCTCCTCACTCCAGCTTGGGGTGAGGACCCTGCCCCGGACACCACCCAATCCTACCTGAATGTCCTTGTCTGCCTTATCTACGAAAATCAGCCGGCTGGAGTCTTCATTCACGACCCGGAAACTCTCCTGCTTCCCCGAGCCTGAAACGCCGAGTGAGGGGACAGGTCAGGGCCATTTACACACAGTCCGGGGGGGCAGGGGCACAAACACAGGATCAGGGATGTGATCAAGAAATAAACTATGGGAGATCCTGCTCCCTGGGGCCTGATCCACCTCAGTTGGTCCACAGGGGCCACTCCCCTGGAACCAGCTGCAGTGAGGACTGGGATGTGCCACCCCACACAACACCTGCAGACTGGATCTCCTGGGCCTGGCAGCACCACCTGTGGCACACATGGAAGGCCTAGACAACAGGGACATGAAGCCACACACCAGATGGGAATGGGCCAGGAAACAGGAGCGAGAGCAGAGTGACCTGACCCAACCTGCCATTCCCCAGGCACCGGGACTTTGGCCCACCTGTGCCCATGGGTCTTTCACCTGCTGAGCCCAGGCTGCCCTCCATCCCCTCCCCAATTCCCCTTCGCAGGGAGCATCAGCCTCCTCCTGGTCCCCACTGGGGAGCCGCAGCTCTTTGGGTTTAATCTCAGCCCATCCTCCCCTCGGGCTGGTCCTGCAGCCAGGGAAGGGCTGGGGTGAGGAAGGTCACTGAGCCCTGCTGCTGCTGGCCCTGCCCAGCTGGTTTCCTGCAGTGGTGTAGACATGAGCTGGCTTTGCTGCTGGCTCAGGCACAGAGGGGAGGCCTCAACACTGGCTGCTAACGGAAATGAGATCCCGGCTGGCTGCAGCATGCTGGGTGTAACCGTCCCCGGGTTCCTGTTGCGCTGGGGGACCAGACGATCCTGTCAACAGTTCCCCTTTGCTGTGAACTGACAAAACTGCTTCCAAGTTCTGGCCTGAGCTTCCTGCCCCTCCCCCATGGAGCCTGAGCCTGGCCAGCCCTTCACTCCAAGCCCCAGGCTGAGGAGAGGTGGGGTGCAGCCTCCCGAGTACCCTGCTGCCTCCACTCTCACTCCACTTTAGGCACCAGTGGCTCAGAGAGCAAAGGGATGTTGTGTCCTCATTCTGCAGTGCGCCCCAGAGCCAGCTCGCCCCCTTCTCCCCAGGCCCATTTCCTTCCTCCCCCTGTGCCCCCTTCATCATGTCCCTCTCCAGCTAACTCTGCATCTCCCCCTGGCTGCTCTTCGTGTCTGGCTGCCTTATTGCCATTCTCACCATGGGGCCTTGGCCATGCCAGCTGGACACAGACCCCAGCTCCTTTCACAGCAGCAGCGGATGGACTTGGCTTTTGGGTCCAGCTCCACAGAGAGATTTACCTGCTTCTCTCCCGTTGATTTCAAGGGCAGTTAGGTGCTTAACTGGGCCTACCAGGCTGGGCTGGATTTGAACCAGTCATCGGCTTCCCAGACCACTCCCCACTCCCACGCAGGAGCCAATCCCCTGACAAGACTACACAAAGGGGCCTGATGAATCGTAGACACTCATGCCCTAGACCCCCCCCTGCTGCTGGCTGCCCAGGGCACTGTACCTGCTGCGCGTCGGAGTCCCACTGCTGTTCGCACACATGCCTCCTGCTTGGCCTGGAAGGAAGCACACCATAGAGAAGTAAGGGCTTCTGCCCCAGGCCCAGCACTTCCAGGAGCAGACTGCTAGGGAACTGAAGGAGAAGCACAAGGGGAAGCCAGTTCCCTGGCTCCTAGTGCACCAGCCAGTTCCAGAGAGCACCTGGCTCCCGCTCACCACCAGCCCAAGGGGGAGCTGGAAGCAACAGATCAGGTGTCAAAGCTGGACAAAGGGGACAGAGACAGGACAATGTGCAATGAGGGAGCCGCCTCTCCCAGACCTCCCCACTCTGGGTCCCTCAGCTAACCCCAGCAGCACTCACCTGCCCAGCGTCCATAGCCAACACTCTACTGCACTCTCCAGCCGGTGAGCATCTTTTCCACGGAAGGGCGGGGGGACAGGGAGATGAAGTTACCATGCATTTTTAATCTGTCTGGCCAGCCTGTCCTGATGCTCCTCAGGGGAGCAGAGGTAGGTGTAGGCCGCAGGTGGGGGGAGGGATCTGCGCCAGTTGAGCACAAGCGGCAGGTGTGGACAGAGCTGGGGAGAGCAGCACCCCAGCCTCAAGGGCTGAGCTGGGGGTGCGGGCGCAAGGGCGGTTCCTTCAATGCCTCCCCCGCAGCACTCGGACAGCTGAAGTCATCTGCTTGTATGGCTGCAGCACCGTCAATAGGGCAACAGCAGAGCAATCTTCTCCCACACTGGCCCCCGGAGGTGCCTCAAACCAGCCCTGCGGGGCAACTTCTAGGGCTGAGAGGGGACTTCAGACTTCACAGCTCATTTCAGTGCTTGGCCCCTGCTGTGACAGCCAACAGGGGGCCAGTAACGACAGTAGGGTGACCAGATAGCATGTGAGAAAAATCGGGACGGGGGTAGGGGGTAATAGGAGCCCATATAAAAGAAAGCCCCAAATATCGGGACTGTCCCTATAAAATCGGGACATCTGGTCACCCTAAACGACAGGCATCTCTCCATTGGCACCCCCAACTCCTTTCACATTCCCCTGGCCCCACACAATGACTTCTGGTTACTACCGAACTGGGCTGGATTCAAACTGATGGCTTAAATGTGCAAGTCTCTGGAGAAACCTCATCACCTCCAAACCTCATTAGTTAATGACCCACCCTTTTTATTTTTACTGTTATTCATTTGCCTCACTAGAGTGTCCTGGGTCCCCAGACCTGGATCAGCACTCCACCATGCTAGACACTGTACAAACTGTACCAAAGAGATAGTCTTGCCTGGAAGAGTTTACAATCTAAACAAGAGACAGACTATCCTCTAGCAAATCCCCTCTGCACACCCTGAGCAGCTCCTCCAAGGATCATCGCATCAGTTGCATTCCATCAGTTTGTTGCTCCTGGGAAAGCCCCCTGAAACACATACCTCCCTTGTCTGAGTGTCCTGGGGTCTCACAGCAACCACGTGACCTTACTTGAGTGCCCTTCAGTATAACACCAAAAATAAACCACAAATACTTGGCTCTGTAACAGCAGAGCACAGCCCAGAGCAGGGACCATGGCTACAGATGCTAATGAGCATTAATAAATCAATGATCAGGAAATACTTCATTTTAAAAGAATAGATGATCACCAGACATAGAATCATAGGACTGGAAGGGACCTCGAGAGGTCATCTAGTCCAGTCCCCTGCACTCATGACAGGACTAATTATCTAGACCAGGGGTGGGCAAATTACGGCCCGCAGGCCGGATCTGGCCCCTCGGGGCTTTGGATCCGGCCCGCGGGATTGCCCCCCATGGCACTGTGGGCCCCGCGCCGCTCTCAGAAGCGGCCGGCACCAGGTCCCTGCGGCCCCCGGGCGGGGGGACAGAGGGCTCCGTGTGTTGCCCTGAGCCCCCTCATACACCCCGCACCCCTCCTGCACCCCAACCCTCTGCCCTGAGCTCCCTGCTGCACCCTGCACCTCTGTGCATCCCAACCCCCTGCCCTGAGCCCCCTGCCGCACCCCGCACCCCTCCTGCATCCCAACCCCCTGCCCTGAGCTCCCTGCTGCACCTCGCACCCCTCCTGCACCCCAACCCCCTGCCCTGAGCCCCCTCCCACAGTCTGCACCCCTCCTGCACCACTGCCCTGAGCTCCCTCCTGCACTCCGCACCCCTCCTGCACCCCAACCCCCTTCCCTGAGCCCCCTCATACACCACACACCCCTCCTCTGCCCCAATCCCTTGCCCTGAGCCCATTCCTGCACACCGCACCCCTCCCACACTCCACACTCCCTCCCGCACCCCAACCCCCTGCCCTGGCCCTGCATACAATTTCCGCACCCAGATGTGGCCTTCGGCCCAAAAAGTTTGCCCAGCCCTGATCTAGACCATTCCTGACAGGTGTTTGTGTAACCTTAGGGTTAGGGTTAGGGTTCTTAAAAATCTCCAGTGATGGAGATTCCACAATCTCCCTAGGCAATTTATTCCAGTGCTTAACCATGCTGACAGTTAGGAAGTTTTTCCTAATGTCCAACCTAAACCTCCCTTGCTACAATTTAAACCCATTGCATCTTGTCCTATCCTCAGAGGTTAAGAAAAACAATTTTTCTTCCTCTTCCTTGTACCTTTTACATACTTGAAAACTGTTATCATGTCAATCTCAGTCCAAGTGTATACATTTTAATATATAAGGCAACACCTCCTCCCTTTTTTCCCTGCCAATCCTTCCTGAGCAAGCTGTACCCTTCTATACCAATATTCCAGTCATGTGTATTATCCCACCAGGTCTCTAGGATGCCAACTATGTCATAGTTGTGTTTATTTACTAGCATTTCGAGTGCTTCCTGCTTATTTCCCTTATTCCACATGCTAGATGGTGTCCTCCTTCTAGATGATGTTACGGTATCCTCTCACACTGAGGATACCACTCCATTGGGAGGGAACCCATGTTATTAGGAAGAGACAGGTAATAATAGTGGGGGATTCAATTATTAGAAATATAGATAGTTGGGTTTGTGATGACCAGGAGAACTGCATAGTGCCCGGGAGATGACCAGGAGAAGCCTGCCAGGTGCGAAGGTTGTGGACCTCTTGAGACATCAAAATAAACTTGTTTGCAGTGCTGGGGAGAAGCTGGTGGTTGGGGTACATGTAGGTACTGTGATATAGGGAAAGGTAGGAGAGAGGTCCAGGAGGCTAAATTCAGACTGATAGGTAAGAGATTAAAGTCCAGGACCTCCACGGCAGCATTCTCTGAAATGCTTCCAGTTCCACACCTAGAGTCAGTTAGACAAGCAGAACTGCAGAGAGGGACTCAATAGGTGGATGAGATGATGGTGTTGGGAGGAGGAATTTAGGTTTATTAGGAACTGGGGAATCTTCTGTGAAAGGAGGAGCTCAGACAGGAAGGATGGGCTCCACCTAAACCAAAATGGAACCAGATTGCTGGCATGTTTTTAAATTAAGGGCTGGGAGGAAGCTGACAAGTGAGAAGGAGCACACAGTTTGGACAGAGACATCTCTTACAGGAGGGTTTATTAAAGGGGATACTCTATATCCTAGTCATGAGGAGAGGATAGAAGTAGATAAAGTACAGGAAGAAACTGAAGAGAAACAGTCAAATGAAAAAGAGTTCCATTCAATTACATCACAGGAAGGCAGACAACTAAATACTGATACATTTTATAAGTGCTTGTTTACAAATGCAAGGAGTCTAAATACTAAACTGGGTGAACTTTAGTGCCTGGTATTAAATGAGGGTATTGATATAATAGGCATCACAGAAACTTGGTGGAATGATGATAACCAATGGGACACCATAAAACTTACTGGAAAAATAGAGTAGTCATGCTGCTGGGGGAATGGCACTATATGTGGAAGAAAGCATAAAGTCAAATAAAGTAAAAATCTTAAATGAATCAAACTGTACCACAGCATCTCTATGGATAGAAATTCCAAGCTTCAATAATAAGAATATAGCAGTAGGGATATACTACCGATCACCTGACCAGGATGGTGATAGTGACTGTAAAATGCTCAGGGAGATTAGAGAGGCTACAAAAACAGAATACCCAATAATAATGGGGGATTTCAACTATCTCCATATTGATCTGGTAGATGTCACCTCAAGATGGGATGCAGAGATAACATTTCTAGACACCATTAATGACTGCTTCTTGGAGCAGCTAGTCCTGGAACCCACAAGGGGAGAGACAATTCTTGATTTAGTCCTACATGGAGCACAGGATCTGGTCCAAGAACTGCTTGGTATTAGAGACTATAATGTAATTAAATTTAACATCCTTGTAGGGAGGGAAATACCAAAGAAACCCATGACAGTAGCTTTTAACTTCAAAAAGGAGAACTACACAAAAATGAGGAAACTAATTAAATGGAAATTAAAAGGAACAGTCACAAGAGTGAAATGCCTTAAAAGCTGCATGGAAATTATTTAAAAACACCATAATAGAGGCTCAGACTAAATATATCCCCCACCACCCAAATAAACAGTAAGAGGGCCAAAAAGATCCATCATGGCTAAAGAGCAGAGTAAAAGAGACAGTTAGACAAAAAGGCATCCTTTAAAAACTGGATGTCAACCCCTACCGAGAAAAATAGAAAGGAACATAAACGCTGGCGAGTCACATGTGAAACTATAATTAGGCAGGCCAAAAAACAAAACAAAAACAAAAAGAATGTGATAAGCAACTAGCAAAAGACACAAAAAATAACAGCAATTTTTTAAAGTACATTAGAAACAGAAAGTCTGCCAAACAATCAGTGGGGCTGATTAAGGTGCTAAAGGAGCACTCAAAGAAGACATAGCTATGCAGAGAAGCTAAATGAATTCTCTGCATTGGTCTTCACTGCAGAGGATGTGAAGGAGAGTCCCATACCTAAGCCATTCTTTTTAGATGACAAATCTGAGGAGCTGTCCCAGATTGAGGTATCTATAGAGGAGGTTTTGGAATAAATTGATAAATTAAACAAGAAGTACTAGGAGTAGATGGTCCCAAGAGGGAATTGAAATATGTAATTGGAGAACTATTACAAGTGGTATGTAGCCTATTGCTTAAATCAGCCTCTGTACCAGATGATTGAAGGATAGCTAACACCCATAACACCCATTTTTAAAAAAGGCTACAGAGGCAATCCTGGCAATTACAGGCTGGTAAGCCTAACTTCAGTACCAGGCAAACTGATTGAATGAATAATTCAATTATTGATATGGATTTATATCAATTAATTACTGATTAATAATTAACAGAATTATACGACACATAGATGAACACAATATGTTGGGGAAGAGTCAATACAGCTTTTGTAAAGGGAAATCATGCCTCACCAATCTATTAGAATTATTTAAGGGGGTCAACAAACATAGACATGGG